TTGACAACACAAAGTAGAAACGAGTCTTCGTTGACATCACAAAACCTCTATGGGTTATTTCATAACGAAATCTAAATATTTACGCAATTTTATTTATTTATTTAATGGATAAGGACGAGGTTTAGATTGATAGACAGAGAGACAGAAGTGGATTACTTAGATAATGAATAGGCTTAGACAGATAAATATATGGTAAAGAGGCTTAGATTGATAGATAGTGAAGAGGCTCAGATAAATTGATAGATAGTGAAGAGGCTTAGATAGATAATGAATAAACTTAGACAGATGACAGATGGATAATGAATAGGCTTAGATAGATAATGAATAGGCTTAGATAGATAGATAGATAGATAGATAGATAGGCTTAGATAGATAGATAGGCTTAGATAGATGGATAGATAGATAGATAGATAATGAATAGGCATAGATAGATAGATAGATAGATAGATAGATAGATTATAAGGGTATATTTTAATTTCTCCATCCAAATGTGAATCAAATTTCGTGGAATGCTGTTCGAATTATTCGCCGTATCTTCGTTCTGCTCGCCCAATCGACGCCTACACGTTCAATATCCTTGCTCACCAGATGTCCCCGATCAATTTTGAGGTCCGTTGTAAAACTTCTTTTCGTTTCGCTTTGGGAGTCACCTTTTGACGTCACACGCTTCGATTTTCGTGCTGGTCATTAACAACAGTCGCCATTCCTAATTTTCGCCAATTCCCGCCTGAATAACGCAGTATTGGCTTTTCAAGTGGAAAGGCAAACGATTGAAGAGTTTTACATCACGCAAACAAAGAACGGGCAAGGCACTTGAGGGTCGGGAGTGGAGATTTCCGTGAATTATGGGCTTAATCAGACTTTAAATGGTAGCAAAATATCGCAAAGGACAGTTTTAATTATTGTTTAATGTTTGGGCATTATTTTTACCTCGTTATTATCGCATTTATAATGATCTGCTGGGTTTACACATTGGTGAGCACGGTTACGTGATCGAAGGGATATGAAACTCGTTAGGCAAATAAAGAATTTTTTCGTTCAGGTAGTTAACAGAAAAGAAAAGAAAAAAAAAAGAAAAGGGAGAAAATGAGAAAATATTATTTGGATACTAAAGAAAGAAAGAAAGAAAGAAAGTAGGAAAGAAAAAAGAAAGAAAGAAGGAAATAAAAAAGAAAGAAAGAAAGAAAGAAAGAAGGTAGGAAAGAAATAAGGAAGGAAGGACGAAGGAAAGAAAGAAAGAAAGAAAGAAAGAAAGAAAGAAAGAAAGAAGGAAGGAAAGAGAAAAGGAAGGAAAGAGAGAGAGAGAGAAGGAAAGAGAGAGAGAGAGAAAGAAGGAGAGAGAAAGAAATAAGGAAAGAAAGAAGGAAGGAAAGAAAGAAGAAAATAAAGAAAGAAAGAAAGAAAGAAAAAAAAAGAAAGACAAAGAATTTTTTGAATACCAGATAAAAATAAGAAAAATAGAAATATAACTATTCTGGTGTCTAAAAAAAGAGAAAATCATAAAGTGACTGACTGAAAGAGAGAAAGAATGTCAGACAGAAAGGTTTTATTAAGTGACAAAGAAAGAAAGAAAATGTAAAAGAAATTCTTTAGATACTAAATAAAATTAAGAAAGAAAAAAGAAAGGAAAATGGAAATTATTTAGATGCTAAATAAGAAAGAAAGAAAGAAAGAAGGAAAGAATTAGTAGGTGACTTACTGTAAGAAAAGAAGTGTGTAAAGATATAAATTTAGCCCTAAGAAATTCAATGTCAGAAAGACAGGCGGTTTGAAATTAGGAAATAATGAAAGGAAAACCGTAACTAAAAACAAAAAAATGAGGTACTTCGCTAGCGCAGCCTTCAGAAGCAGTTTGAATGATTAATCTTGAAATTATCGAACGGTTTCAAACAAAGATAAACCTTCAATATTTCTTTCACACTGAAGAAAAGCGAGTTACTAAAAATCTGTTTGCTGCGATAGTCACTAGAAAATAATGGCGCCCGAAATTATCAGAACAGTGACTAAGTAAAAAAAGCCCGAAAAAGGAATAGAGATGATATTTTTTTTTAAACTACTAAAATAAAAAGAATAAAATGATTTCCGTTTGCAAAGGTAATTGGGATTGGTAAAGATAAGAAAATGCAAGCGATAAGCCGTTCAAATTAAACGAGAAAAACAACACAAAACATAGCCTACCGCCATATTGTTACCATTAATGAACGAAAATGAGGCTAATACAAAGAGATCTTTTTTTTTAATCCTACATTTATGTACTACACCTTCAACTAGAAATTTATTTATGACGAATCAATATTATTCCATTTTCTACCAATACAGGAATGAAATAAAGATAAGGAGCTAACATATTGAAAGAATGTCCGAAAAGTAAGCTATAGTTTCTTTACTCTTCCAGCATCTTTATTGCTATGCAAATAAAACAATGTACAGTTGTTAGCAGCATCAAACTGCTGCTTTTACACGGGCCCCATGCACTTGTGCCATCGATGCAAAGGAACATGTTCACTCTCCTCGAAAAAGTGTCCAAAGTTGACTGGTGACAAAAGTGTCGTTGCGGGAAAGAAATCTAATGGTTACAATATTAAATTACCCAAAACACGCGCAAGGAGTAGTGTCATATATATATATATATATATATATATATATATATATATATATATATATATATATATTAATAATTATAACATAAATATGGGTTAAATAATTTGAACCTTTTAAAATCTTTTTTATCTTCAATCTACATTGAACATCATCACTTGATAAGACACCAGAAGTGTTAAAACAAAATGGCTATTTTTGTATTGATTTTATAACATATTTATGTTATAATTTTAAATAAATAATTATATTTGCTCTACTGTGTATTGAGCACTCTTTTAAGAATAGGAATTGTTGGTTATTGGAATTTATTCCGTATACACCAATCATATACTTGGATATATATATATATATATATATATATATATATATATATATATATATATTATAATTTGTGTATGCATAAGCGAGAAATCTGACCCATATTAAAAAAGATAAGAACAAAGACGTCCTTCCTTCGTCCTTTCTCTGACCATTCCTAATTGATTTATTACCCATTAAGCGGAAGAATATTTTCGCCACGAGTCCAAGAAAAACTACTACACACAAAAGACAATGGTTAAACATTAGAAAATATAAGGAAAATCAATTCCTTGAAATAATTTGTGGAAATAAGCACTCTTTGCCGGTTGAAAGTCGCGATACCGGAAGCTCGTGTAGCAAAAATATGGAAAATAAATATAATATAAATTTTAAAAATCCACATCATAAACAAAAACGATTGCATCTGTCTATATTTCTGACGTGAGGTATTATGTACACTATTTACATTATTCGGACTATTTCCTCATCTTTGTCGCCATGTTTATCACAAAGTTTTCGGCCGTTGTACGCTCCGGCCTTCTTCAGGTGGTTGAACCCTTTCCTTCGCTCACTGGGGTAGACTGTTCTAGTTCCACGTGCCGTGTCTAATGGATGTCAGGTATATCCTGTTATGGAGAGAAAAGGGAGATCGCCGCCCTCTGTGGGATCAGGTTGAAATCATAGGCAAAAAAACATCATTGGAAAATTTGTAAACTTAAGGAATCAGCACATATGCTAGGCTACAAAGTTCTCCTGAGTCGACCAAGCATAGGAATGAATACAATATGGGAACCAGTAATAAGGAGTGCCAGAGAAAAGCGATAATAACAAAAATTACAATATGAGCTCTGGTAAAAACATGTTATGATAACAGCAAAATTTGCAATATGAGCACTGGTAAAAAATGATTGCTGAAGACATTAGGTTTATAATACCAAGAATTTCCTACACATATGTCCTCAAGGACACATGGCACAGTGGATAAAGGTGTTAGTTTGATCCAGTGACAGGACCCAAAGTGTGTGAGTTCAATACGTGGTTAAGGCAGTGGAGTAAAGGGGAAATTAACAGGAGGTAACTGACATCCATTAATCGTGGCACGCGGAACTAGAACAGTATAAGAATAAATTTTTTTTTTTTTTTTTTGGTGACTGTAAAGAATTGATTAAAAAACAGTTTCAAAATTTTCTTTCAAATAATGATTTTCCCAAGTATGGGGAAAATAGGGTTAAAATATTTGTGGATGCGTGTATATTAGTTCCGTAAATTCGAAATATTTTTTACTGTTGATTTACAACGTTCTAAATCGAATATGGAAGGGGGTAATTTTCTAATTATTTTAATATTCAAAAATGAAAAATACTTTTATTTATATAGTTATATTTTAATTTAGTATTTTGTATAAAACGTTTCTGCTACAAACATTTAAGAACTTTGTTGCTATGCTCATTTGTTTTATATTTTCGAAGCAAATGTCTAATATAAATAGATAAAGACGTATATATATATATATATATATATATATATATATATATATATATATATATATATATATATATATATATATATATATATAAAATAAAATAAAAACAGACCACTATAAGGTTCCATGTAATAAATTATTTCACCACGGCACTTTTAAAGGACTTCGGATAATCAGATTTTACTTCCAAAGGTTTGGAAGTAAAGTCTGATATCGAGAATCACTAAAAAAGAGCTGCAGTGAAATAATTTATTACATAAACCTTAATCAGTCTGTTTTTACTAAATTATTGCTCTGGATTTATATTGAGCTCTCTGGATTTTATCCTCCTTGGGTTTAACCATACGGATTACATAGTTTTTCATAAACTATATATATATATATATATATATATATATATATATATATATATATATATATATATATATAGATAGATATGAATATTTATACATACATATACATATATACACATACATGCATATACATATATACACATACATATATATATATATATTTTTATACATACATATATACACATACATACATATACATATATACACATACATATATATATATATATATATATATATATATATATTTTATACATACATATATACACATACATACATATACATATATACACATACATATATATATATATTTTTATACATAAACAGATACACATACATATATACATAAATATACATACATATACATACAACATATATATATATATATATATATATATATATATATATATAATTAAGTTTACATTTGAAATATTAGCGTCAAATCTGGTGTGCATGTATAGTCGAATCAACGTAAACATCAGTTTAGTCCGATGAAATCCTAAAGGAAGAAACGCGTCACACCATTTTGTCATAGATTTCTCATATATATATATATATATATATATATATATATATATATATATATATATATATATGGGGATACGAAGGAAGCGTTAAAAGTAAGATAGAAATATTTACTCTTCCAACATGTTTATTGCTATGCAAAAAAACATTGTCCTTACTTTATCTATATATATTATTATAATGATAGTTTTCCACATAGTACCCAACATGATTGTTACAAATGTCCTATCCATGCACCTGCCAAACTCTACCCTCCTTCAAGAACATTGCACTAAGGGGACTGGAGACAACCTATTAAATGCATCCTCTAACTGAAACCTGTTCCTGGATAAATGTTGTGTAAGGAACCGAGCCATATGATAATCTGAAGCCAGCGCTATCGGGTCGATTCACGAAAACAGCCCAGCCCTATCACTGAAGCGGTTGGCTTTTCAGGCTGCTCCTAAGCATGCCGTCATTGTTTGACTGTCAGATGCAGAAGCAATCGCATCATTCGACAAACATCTTCCCTCAGTCAGCACAAAGTTTCATAGCATCTCTTACAACGCAGTACGAAATCAACGTGCAACGACGTACATTTTCCCTCCTAGAATACAGTTGCCATTAACGTCTTCAATGAACTTTGGCTTGGTTGGCGTCAGTGATGATCAATGCTCCCAGATCTCTTGAAACAACGTTCGTTCTGGATTAATGCGATGCCCCCAGGTCTCATCATTCGTGTTCATGTGCGCCAAAAGGTCGCCATGTGTTACCCCATCTCGTACAAAACGTTGAAAAGGAAGGCCTATGGGCTGAAACTGGCGTTCTTCAGTCGATTGTTTTGAGACCAAATGGTGCATGCAAAGATCTTATTACAGCTGGCATATGTATGCTTGTCCACGATTTTATATTTGCAGCCATCTTTTTTGTGACGTCACAAATGCATGCCTTCAATATCAAGGCTGTTCTGGGTGTTACATGAAGTATTGCTACACCACCCATTGTCTTTGATCACTAATGTAAATTGTTTATATATATATATATATATATATATATATATATATATATATATATATATATATATATATATATAGTGTTGGGAAAGCAGATCATTATTCAAACATATTGTTAAATATAGCAGTCAACGAATGTCTATTATGTCTGAACGTTAACTGTTAGTAGCTTCGTATAGTTGCTTTAAATTCGGGAGAAAAACTGTCCAACATTTTGATATTTTTTTTATTATACAGTTCCTTGATCTAAGCTTTCGGCTAACATAGCAATTTTCTATGTCAACATAACAGAATATCATTTTTGATGGTGAATATATTTGTTTAAATGTCCGTAGAACCACACTGAAGATGACTTCTGTGAACCGAAAGCTTAGATCAAGGAACAGCTTAATAAAATTATCCAAATGTTGGACAATTTTTTCGTCTTTATTTTCGTCCGAAATTAAAGTCAATTGCTGATACCCTTTGAAGAGTAAACATTAAAGTCAACACTTAGAGGCGGCAGGCTGTTTCATGTTTGACGCAATCGTCAGGCCATATTTACATACGCTTTATCTCTAATATTCAGCACTTTATCCCATAAATATAGCACACCTTAAGAGTATATTTCTTTATATATATAATATTTATATAGATAGATAGATAGATAAATAGAAAGAGAGAGAGGTTGTAGCAAAATTATCCCATTGACAAAATTAATCTCATTTAAAATAGTACAATGCAAGTTTTCAAATATCGGATATATATCTTCGTTTTTTTTTTTTTGTTTTTTTTTTATGTATAAACTTATTTGAAATAAATGCACTGTTTTTTTTAATTAAACAGTATTAATTACATTTACTGTCTTGAATGTTCGAGAAATTTCGTAGAAAATATGCGTCCTTCGACAGGAATCGAACCTGTATCCCAGACAGAACAGTCATTTAGACTGACGTCATTCATACTGTTTAATTAAAAGAAAAAGAAGCCATTTACTCAAATATATATGGAATTTCAAGAAATCTAGGAATTTTCTAAACGAGGCTTAAATGTGGGAAAGAGATGAAAGAATTGGGCAACCAGTGAGGATCGAACTCACTATACAGCCGTAAATGATCTAGCAAAACATGATTTCTAACCACTACACCACGTTGTTGCGTGCGTGTGTGTGTGTGTATATATATATATATATATACACACACACACACGCACGCAACAACGTGGTTAGAAATTTAGAAATATATATATATATATATATATATATATATAT